TCAAAGTGTAATTCAAGGACCAGCAGCATTAATATCTCCAGGAAACTTGTTAGAAATGCAGAATCTCAGGCCCACTTCAGACCTGCTGACCAGAATCTGCATTTTCTCAAGATCCCCAGGTGATCTGTATGCACATTAACGTTTGAGAAGCACTGCTTACAGGATTTACTCATCCTTTTCCCCTGGTTAAATAAATCCTTGTCAGGCCAAACCCTGACCCAAAAGCAATAATCAAGATCAGCTGTGCACCACAGAAAATGGGCTATAAGGATGGCTCTTAATTGGTGGTCATTCCCATTTGTCGCTTTCCTTGGTGAAAAAGACCTTTTCCTCTAAATGAAGAGGGTTTGCCACTCCAGAGCAAGAAAGGTTAGGCTTTATCAAAGAAATGTGCTTGTCAAACACTAGGCTCATTTATATTACTAAATACAAAGACGTCAGATGTTCCTTTCCTCCATATTCCAAAGTACTGAACCAGAGGTGGAAGGAATCCCTAGGCCACTGACTTTTACCTGGATTGATATTTATTACACCTGGAAAATGGTGAAGCACTGGACATAGTACTAGTCAAATTTTCCATTGCAGGGCTGGCATGGACCCAATCCAATAGACAATTCCAGTATTTTGTCTTTCATCTGGCTGCCACTATCCAAGGTTTACTTGAACATCCAACAATGGCCTGCATAGGCAAGTTAAGCACTTATAATTACAATTAAACTGTATCCAAAATGATAAATACTGAATTTTCTATCCTTTGAGGTGATCACATGGTTTTTCCCCTTTAATCTGTAGTGGGGTAAATTCCATAGATTTTCACATATTGAAACAACCTTGTGTTCCTAGGAAACACCCCCCTTGGGTTACATCGGATTAGTTTTTGTACAGTTAGCTTAATGGGCCAATATTTTATTGGTGATTTTTTTTCATCTGTGTTCATAAGCCAGATTGGTCTATAATTTTTTTTTTTGGCAGCTGACTGGTATTATAATTTTTCATCCTGTTCTTGCTCAGATTTAGCTTTGAAACTTTACTAACTTTATGAACTGGGTTGGGTGACTTCCTCTCTTTGCTAGTTCCTGAAAGTTTGTATAAAGATAGGAATTATCAGTTTCTTGATGTTTCAGTACAATTTACCTTTTAAAACTTGTCTTTTGGCGAGGTGGAATTGTGATTACTGATTCTATTTCCTTAGTGGTTACTGGTTGATTTTGATGTCAAAAATCTTAGATGGGTCTTAGTAATACTTTCCTTGAAACGCATCAATTTTTTCATTGTACACTTCAAAAATTTTTGTAATAAAGCTAATGGTATTCTTATAATTTTAAATCTCTACTTGTAGTATGTCTCTTTTTTGATGTTTTGATCTATATACTGTTTATCTGGCCCCTTTCCTTCCTGATTAGTCCTTGCTAGGGGGTTTTCTGCAAGTATGACTTCTGAAGCAGCCTAGAAAGTCTCCATCAAGGGACTTCCACCAGCTGCTTGCTGCCATAACTGTGTCTTTACCTACCTTAACAGTGTTGGCTTATTTACTTCTTTGTACAGTAAAATAAACTCATAGCTTTAGCAGTGCTCTTTTGCTACTCCTCTAAGTTCTCTCACTTTCTTCTGTATTTAATCCTTTTTCTTTTTCTTGTGTCGCTTACTACCGTTTTCTTTGCTGTACTGATTCACTTTTAAGTTATCATTTTGAGAATGAACACAATGTTATTAAATTCATTTTTCATTATGGATTTACTGAACATACAATTATATATGCTACTATATACTGGGCTTTATGATAGATACTGAGAGTAAAGAGATGAAAAGAAATAGTTCACATTACAACAGACTTTTCATACTGTAATATAAATAAATCTATTATTTCTCTCTATCCCATTCTATTTCATAGTTCTATAATCATATGGGCTCCAGTTTGGGAGTAAATTTTTAGACAAATAATTTCATACCATACAGTATTTTCATACAGTATTGTAATACTATAACTGTTACATTCTAAATCCCATAATAAGAGACATCTAAGTACAAAAAGCCATGGCAATACTATGGCTTTTTATATTGGAATTAAAAATAAAGATGTCCTGGCCTCATAAACTCTTTCTTAAAGGAATTTTTAAGCATGCTGTACTTATTATAAGTAGATGGCAACATTTCAATCAAAGCTGCAGAATTTCTGACAATATTCTCTGTGACAACTGTAGGTAATGTACTTCAGACACTCAGAAAATAACTCCCGAATGAAGACAACCCTCACGTGGACACTTATTTTACTGGAATAAAGTTATATGTTTTTGCTCAAGAATCTCTAATTGAACAAAGTAAAATATAGCTGTCGCTATTCCCGAATATAAATAACAGCTTTTCCAAGTCAAAGACTAGAGTTTTGCAAAAACTGACAATCTTGTCTTTTGCTATTAAAAACATATGGTTAGCAATTGCTAAAGAAATGTGAAGACTCTAGAAAAAAGTGGGAAGTATGATGTTTAATTCTTCTTTCCAAACATGTAAATAGAACAAAAGGCAAAGTAGTTTAAGAATACCAGAACTAACCAAACTAGTGGTGCATTCTTTTTTAACATGCAAAAAAATCCTTCACACAGCATTAACTATATTATTTTTCAAGTGCATTGGGTTTGACTGTAAGAAAATTATTGGGGCCAGAAGTTAATCATACATGATGACAATTTCTCCAGCGAAAGCCATGTTTGCAAACCATCTAACTCAACCCTAATTACCCATCTGTTGAAACTTCACATTTATGTCACAATTGAAGACATAAACTGAAATTGGTTGACTGATTTTTGGCTTCCACTCTGATTCACAGAGCCACAGTGGTACCGTAAAACTAGTAGTTTGTTTTTCTAGTTCTCTGCCTCTGGAACTCTGTTATGGAATTTGTTGGCTTCAACAATGAAGGGGAAACTGTGGTGCCTATATCCTATCAATTAGAACAGAATAGAAATCTATCTTTGACTACAGGAGTTTAGTTCTGAAATTCAACTGGTACAAGCAGAGGGTAATGCTGCTTAAACTAAGACCTTTCCTACAATTACTCACATTGTGGGAAGTTATCCAAATTTCAAATTTATTATAGCCTTTTAAAATTACACAACAGAAGATCTTCATTTATGCAATAAGTCAGTCATCTATGGTATCTTTAGATAATGAAAATCTAGGATAACTCAAGCCAAACAAACTCTACCTCTTGCTTTCTCTGTTAGAATATACACACTGGAAGTCTAAGTTCCAAGTAGTTCCTCTATTGAAGGTGAGATTTAGTGCAAGCCACCTGGCTACAATTTTTTGAATGTTTACAGAATGGTGAGACTTGATTATGGATGAAACTTCTATTTAAAAGACAAGATTTTATTTTTAAAAGCCTAAATTGACTCAATTATTTTCAAAATAAGATTTGACCCATGTTTTCAGTTTATTGTCATATAGAAAACATTTTATAAAATAATATGGTAGACCTCCACTTCTACATCTTCATGTAAAAACTTCACAGTGCAAGAACATGATCACTAGTAAGTATGAAGACATCAAAAGCTAGTCAGTATTTTAAGTATAGGGTAGAATATTTTTGCTATCTCTTCCTAAAAAATACTGGCACATTCATTAACTACCCGGGTTATAAAAATCACTTGGTATCTACTACTTGTCCTTCAATACGTTTTTATACCTACACTTCATCACATTAATGCTAGTGGACGAATGTAAGAATCTAAAAACCTTTCAGGTAGCACAATGATCTAAAACCAACTAGGAGAAAGCTCTCCCAGAATATTGCCATATGTAATTTCTCGTCCATTACCACAATAAGAGTAAAAACCTGTTAAGACTCTAAAAAGAAGCTAAAGAAAAATAATTTCACTTTTCCTTTGAAAACACCATTTTTTAGGTCTTAAATAAAGAGGAAAAACTTTAATTTTCGTGGGGGAAAGGCAGTATTTGAGTAAAAACATCAAATTTATGTTAGTTGCACAAATGTCTCATTCAGGAAAGAAAGTGAATACTTAGATTCAAAGGATTCTGAAATATTTCATCCTTACAAGAAAAGTGTAATTTAAAGTTAAGAAATTGTAACACACTGAACAAATATAAACCACCCAGTAACATTCTATTGTTTTTCACAAAATCCATAATTAAGAAACAATAGGTTAGGTAGGCTATCTCATTTTCCAACATCTGGACAGATTGGCCAGGAAGCCCTGGGCAAACAACACATCCTCAGTGTTAAGATCCTCATGTCTTCAATGAGGGTACTGTACTAACTGCCCTCTAACATCCCTTCCAATCTGCAGATTTATATACAGTTGTTAACCTTATGTAATCCTTTCAAGAATGAGATGTTTCAACTCAATGTACTTTCCAGATAAATAAAGCTCCCACACTTAAAGTGGCAAAGCCTTTCGTTAAACACTTAAATTTTTACTTTAAAATTTATTTTCCATGTATTTATCTGTCACCTCAAAAGAAGATAAGGTATGACTAACAACACAGTCTCTAAACTTCATGGTGTCCCGACTTGCCAGCTGCTGGCATGATCAGCAGATTCAGCTTGGGCTCTGGCTCCAGTCCTGGGCAACTTTGGGCCACACACGGAGTGAAAATGTGGATGGTACCACCTGCTCTTTACGCTTTCTTTTGAAGACCAATAGAGTTATAATATATCAAAGTATCTGTAAACTACAAATTACCATACAAATGCAAAAGTTTGTTAATAAACCTAAGCTGACTTTTCCCTGGTAACAAATTCTGGATATTTTTAGAAAACATATATTCTTTGTCAAGATTTGTACATTTATGGTTCTGATCGTTTGGTTACCTGACTATTCTGCAGTCATTCTGTTCTCCTGCTTCTAACCGCACCAGGCCTGAGATTCAGTTTGTCTCTCCTAGAGTCTAGAAATCTGACCTTTAAACAGGTGAAAACGAAACACTAAAGATCTCTCTGTTACTTTAGCAAATGTAGTGCCACCACTATTCACTTTAAAAGAGTGGTTTCCTAACTAGGTTAGGCATCAGACTCACCTAGGAAGCATTTTAAAAATTGAGTCCTGGGCTCTGCCCTGGAGATTCTGATTCAGTATGTTTGGAGTATGACCTAGAAAAATTTTATTTTTTCAAAAGCTCCCCCAGGTAATCTCAACAACTGATTAGTTCAGTTTTGAGGACTCATAGCTTTGCTCTCAATTTCTTCTCTACAGTTTTAGCAGCTGCTAGTTTGTCTACTTGTTTTTAGTATAAAAATTTCCCCTTGCATTAATCACAAGCGCACTCAAGAACAGACTGCCCAGAATCTTGGCTTAGATTCATAGGGAACTAGCCATTCCAATCCTTTACAATAAAATTTAAAAAGTGATAAATTAATTTCAGAGCTAAGACAATGCCTGCAGATGCTGAAAGGTGGCTGGTTCTACACTTACAGGGCAACTGTATTCTGCTTTACTGGTAGTCAACATCTTATTACAGTTGTCACTACTAAATAAAGGGTGACAGAACTCCTCCAAATAACAGAAAAATAGCCAACCAGCTAATCAGCATTATTTAGAAAATGTTTCTAGCAAACATAAATAAAAAGTTATTTTTTTTAAAGACTACACAGCTTCCTGTAAAAATCCAAAGACTTCCACACATATGAAGTCGACCATGAAGAGAAAAGTTGGTCAAAACTACGGTTGTTTAAAAATATGTTCAATTAACTGTGAAAATATGTGTAAAATAAGTACAATTTCATCCTGTAGGAGGTTTGACAGGCACAAATGGAATTCAGTTTCCATCTATTCTACCCAAGTAGTTAACTGTGAAAACAACACATGAAGTATTTGGTATAATGTAGTTCTGAACACCATCCCTTCCAAATCCAATACAAAAACCACATTTGGATTTTCCAGGTGTCCCAAGTGTATATCTAGGCACTGCGGAACGTTGTCATGTCTTTTGGTTCTCTGCTGGGCACACACCAGTCGTCAGCCTCATGGTTGGTGTTGTAATGCTTCCAGGCAGCTTTGTTATACACTGGGAGTCTTTCTATTGATTCTGTTGACAGAGCCTGAAAGAAAAAAAAGGCAGGACTTAAAAGTCTGGCATTCCTTAGAATTCATTAAATAATACTAAATTGGTATCTTATTAATCTAACACCATCTACACACATTTTTAAAAAGTGTACATATTTGAAATGTGTTTTCTAAATCTATGGCACTGACTGATGTGCATGTTGACTCAGTTTGTTGCTTCCAGTAATTCCCTAGCCAGCCTGGAAGCTGCTGCCTTGAAATTTTACATAGGTATAGCAGATGCCTCTTAAAAAACATGACCTAGACCAGGTGGTTCACTGAAAAAGTCAGTTAAGTATAAAAGCATGAAAATGAACATATGCACCTTCATATATGTACACAAATTTAATGGAATCTATCGTTGTTACTTACTAGAAGGAATACTATTTTTTTCAGTACTCACTGTACTTTTTCTTTTCTTTCCTTTTTGTTTTTAGGGTACCCATAGAATGCATAATCACTGTACTTTTAAAAACTCGTCATAACGATATTATTATCAATAAATATAAAACTATGTCTCAGGCCTCTTGGCTTTTACATGAACAATTCTTGGCTCTGGGTTTGATTCTGTGTTCTCCTGCCATTAAAGTCACCAATTTAAGTCACAGAACATGTGATTTCTGCTTTATGCATAACTTCATGTTTCCAGTATATCATTCCCGTTAATTCCCTGTTCTATTTCAGCTTCCTGTAAATCCCTGGGACCTGAGGTAAAGTAATTCCTCATCATCTTCTTCAAGTTAAAAATTTTCAGTAGATTTTCAACTTCAGGCCATAAGCATTCTCCAAGATGTAGAAAATACTGAACCAGAAATTTCATTCTGGTAATGCTAAATAAGGTCTTTGATGTTGATGATTTTAATGACTGTGTTTAAGACTTCCTGTCTTTTATTTTTTCCAAAATGGAACTAACAACCTTTACCTACATATTCTCTTTAAATATTCCAGAATTCCTTGATGTATAGGCTGGATTGAAATGTTATATTTGGTGATAAAATATTGTGCTAATGTTGCCCTTTTTAAGTTCATCATGATTGACATGGTTAAAAATAAAGAAAAAAAAACTTATCTAGAAAAAATTTAACCTTTTTAGAAAAATGTATTTTTCCAATACAAATTCTTCAGCATTTCCTATGAAGCAGGTGCCATCTAGTGGCCACAGCAAGAAACTAGAGTCACTAAATAATTAGCCACCAACAGCCCACCCACCGCTTACCTAATCAAGTGGAATGATGGGTCCTAGTGCTTTTCTATCCCTGTAAAATACACTGATCCCTCCATAAACACACTGAATACCCCAGGCAAGTAGGCTAAGTGCTTCTGCTCCCACCAGGTAAGCTATGCGCTCACCAAAAGTCACCTGTGCTTGTTCCCAAATCTGTTTATTCAATTACATATGTTACTGTAATTACAAAATTTCATCAAGTATTACATAAACAAAGCACAAAGAAAAGGGTAGGAGGTCTTTGAAACTAAGATGAATGCTTTGGAAAGACTCATGAAGTTTTGAAAGTCAAATAAAAATTGCTGTCTAATCAGGGTGAGATGAAATCTGTAAAGGACTGCATAAAAATCCAAAAAGGTTACACGCTTGGTTGTTTCTTTGTTTAAAGAAACTAAAATGATGCATTGTAAGTATAGTTTCTGTAAGAAAGACAACATGACACTCCACTCTGCAGACCTACATACAAAGAAAAGGCCTTGGCAGTACATTGTCCATTCATGTATGTATTTTAGGTTAAAATTAAATTTGAATGATATATAAATGTTTATTATTCCCCACTTTAACCCAACTTTTTTCCTATTAACAAACATAGTCCTGAGCATGACAGATAAGGAGGTTTCTTCCCTCATAATAGAGGGGATCACCTGTTAAAACAGATGAGAACCCATATAAAAAACCATAATGTTTTTGTATTTAAATAGCATGAGATAGAGTAAAATTTCATTCAGTTAAATTTTGGCATCTTTTCTTATCATCAAAAGAAATATCTTTAAATCAAGGAGAGTATAGTTATTACCTTAATGTAGATAACTGCATCTGTCCCATAACCCTCTAGGGAATAGAGCTTTAGGTCTCCTTGGAAGTACTGTGCATAAAGACGTGATATGGGCAATCCATAACCAAAACCAGCCTGTTTTTGTGAGAAAAACAAAATTCTATTCAGAGAGCCACACACTGAAATACTTTTCTAATTGAGACAAATGCCACTGAGTATCCTAGGGCTATCAGAGCCTGTATTGAAGAGATCTGTTAGTATGTAAGTACTAACAATGATTAAGCTGAAGTTTAGCTGAGTAGTACATTAGATGACTCCTCTCTGGTCATTTAAAACCCCTCATTTTTTCTATAAAATGACTTGGAGTGGTCTGGGAAAAGCAAGCTGCTTTTTTCTCTGGCCTGCTCTTGGGTATCCCAACACTGCTGATGGCAACATCATGTAAAACATGTTATCTTGTTTAGGAGCAAGAGTAGAAAAAGCATTGTCGTAGCTTAATAGACAAGACACAACTTCATACCATGAATGTCCAGCCTGTATTTTGAACCTGAAGGTATCTATAATAGATCTACTTTCTTAATTATCACTGAGGACAGGTCACTTCCCTGCTTAAAATTATTCAAAGCATTCCCCCACTGCCACCAACCCACCCCACTGCCTTAGCGATAAAAATCCAAGCTTCTAAAAAGACCCAATAAGATCAGGTCTCTGCCTCCCACTTTTCACTCTAGCAAAACTCCATCTCCTGATCTTAAGTTCCTTAAATACGTCAATTCTGTGTCTTTGTTCATCCTGCTCTCAGTATCGGGAATGGCCTTCTTTACCTGGATAAATCCTACCAATTCCTTAATACAAAACAAAACATTTGGATAAATGTAAAAATCGTTTTTATTTCCAAGTCATATGTTCAATGACATTCCATACAACATGCTAGTCAAGAGCTTATGTGGACTCAGGAATCAGAGTGCTATTAACAAACCCAGGCTCCGGCTTTACCTACCCCCACCAATTATTACTTGACTTTTCTAATCAGAATTTCTGTGTACCCCTCCAAATCAACTATCCAATTTCCACACTTCTCCCTGCACTGGGAGGCTGACCTGAAGAGATTATGTCAATGATTCCCATGCCCTCTGCTTCCAGGGGGTCCTGCCAATGGGGAACCCAGCAGGAGTTCAGAGGGAGTCAGGGAAGGGTATTCACTCCTCTTACTCTTTCCCTGAGAGGTGGTATTAGGCAGGTTGGGCTCCTTGAGAGTAAGCAGCTCCTCTGCAACTTTCCTTCCTCTGGGTTCTAACTTTACCTTCTCCTCATCTCTTTGATCCAGAGTTGGGAACAGCTCTGCTACTGCTAGCCCTGGGTTCCTGTACTATCCTTACCTACACTTATGCAACTGGTTTTGTAAAGAAGCCTTCCTTGAATTATCATAATTTGAGTGAGCTACCTCTTTCCTGTTGTGACCCTGACTAATACATTAACTGATTCTGGAAGTGGCTCCAAGAAAACCGCATGAGCAGGTGGTTCAGGCTCTCATGGTACCTGGCCTACTTTTGTCACTGCCTCTCTCTTAACCACACCTATGGACTCATGGGGCTTCCCCTATGAGTAGGTAACAAAGAAGAAAAACAGCACAGGCTTAGTTCACTGTGGGATCTACCCAGTGTGCTAGCATCAGCCAAAAGTAGACTGCCCTTTCACTGCAGCCCCTCCTGGGTGGAAGGCAGGCCTGAAAGATGAGGGTGAAGGTAAATACTACCAGCATGGGCAGTAGCACACAAGTTTGCTAGCTGGTCATGGACCTGGAAAGAACAAAACTGGAAAACTGATGAGAAGGAGTGATAATTGACAGTGTGAATATTCCATCCATGCAAATGCCCACCAGAAGACTCCACATGGAGAAAGCTCTCCATAATCAGGTAGACATGATGGCCACACCTATGGATCGCATGTGACCTTTCTCCAGCCTCCCCAGTGCTTGCTGATTGGGTCCACTTACAAAGTGGTCATGGCACCAGGAAGGAGACTCTGCAGGAGCTCACAACAGTCTTATCCTTGACCTTTCTCCAGCCTCCCCAGTGCTTGCTGATTGGGTCCACTTACAAAGTGGTCATGGCAGCAGGAAGGAGACTCTGCAGGAGCTCACAACAGTCTTATCCTTGGTAAAGCTGTGTAGATGTACAGGGGAGCCTGTCCCATGTCAAGCCTTCCATTTCCTTAAAAATTTACATAAATTTTACATCCTAAAACAGCAAATACTTACATGGCATTTACTGTGTGGCAGGCATTTTTACATACATTAACCCACTTAATCCTCACAATAAATCCACTTTTCAGGTTGGGGAAACCATGGCATTGAGAAGTCAGTAATTTTCCTGGGCTACCCGTCTAGGCTGTAGTACAGTCAGGAATGTAACCAGACCCTTTAGATCCCAGGATCTGGACTAGTTTGTTATACTATTCCCCACAAAAATCCTACAATATTTGTTTACTACAAAAGCAGCATCCCCCTACTTCTTAGAGTAAAATTAGAATTCTAATTAGATGCTTATGTTTATCATTTGACACCTTCTGCCCTTTGGAATATGGATACCTACTCCTGGGAACCACATATCTCAACTGGAGAAGCACACTGCTAGAGCAACTATTTCACATATTTGTTAAGACAGGAACTATATGATAGCAGTAGCCACAGAATTTGTGCTGTGTAACAGGTAAAACTAATAGAATAAAGTCCTTTTAGTAACTTCCTGGGAAAGGGTCTAAAATAGATCCATCTTATTACTGTATTTTATCACATTACAGCCTAACTCCAGTGTGTATGCCAGAGTAGTTGCAAAGCCTGGAAGAATAGAGTTCTTCCAGAATTATAGGATGAAGTCTGGCAAAGTGCCTTTTTTGGGGTTTGGGGATGAGCATAAGAATGGAGTCAATTCAAAAGCTGACCTTATTTTTTTTGTGTGTGTGTCTTTTTTCGTGACCGGCAACGGATCGCAACCCTCAGTGTCGCGCCCGTACCGGACCGGGACCGGCAACGGGATCGCAACCCTCGGCGTTGCACCCGCCCCTTGCTCAGCCAGTGAGCGGGAACCGGTCTGTATGTGGGATCTGAACCCTCGGCGGGAGCGTCGCCGCGCTTCCCAAGCGGCGCACTGTAGCAGTGCGCCACTGGGCCGGCCCAAAAGCTGACCTTATTAAACCTGAAAATAGGTGACACTAAGATTAAAAAAAATACCATTAAAACAATTATAATTTGAGCCTGTTTTAGGCTTGTGATTAAATGGATCAGAACTTTCATTTTATTTCTGAGTCTAGAATATTAGATCTTTTTAATTACAAATAACTTGAGAAAAAAAGTCAACACTAGAGATTAAATCAGTGTTGACCAAATACTAATAAACTATAGTAATTTATTCTTCACATTAGAAATTGTATATCAAAATATGGTTTACCACAGGAAAACTACTGCTGTATCACTACCAAGCTTGGCAACAAGAACTCCAAAGCAAAATCTTTGCCTTGTGCCTGTTTCAATTAAAAAATTTACCACAGGAAAACTACTGCTGTATCACTACCAAGCTTGGCAACAAGAACTCCAAAGCAATAATCTTTGCCTTGTGCCTGATAAAATAAAAATAAAAATAAAAATAACCCCAAAGCTGTTTAAATTTAGAGGAGGGCTGGCTGGTTAGCTTATTGGTTAGAGTATGGTGCTGATAACACTCAGGTCAAGAGTTCAGATTCCTTTACCAGCCAGCTGCCAAAAAAAACTCAACCCAAAACAAAACAAAAAATTTAGAGGAAAGTGTTTATTTCCAATAGCTCTCCTTCTTCTTCTTTGTGGGGTACCCTACACAATGGCTTAATTGATTTATTTGGCAGCCAAAGCCTGTCGAAGGCAATTCACAGAAACACACTTCATTATTTCTTGATCACATACCAGGGGCACTGCACGGGAAGTCTCAACACGAGGCCGGGGTGCAGTTGAATACATGTAGTTGAAGAGTCTGTCAATCTTCCTCAAAGGAACACCACCTCCTCGGTCACTCATCTAAGATAAGAAAGGCTCATTCTCTATGATCAAGGTCCATAAACAGCAACATTCCAAGGCATCCTCACAGAATCCCAGTTTAACTGCTGGCAGGAGAGTACTGCTTTTGAAAATGAGTACCACACAATCCAAGCTGCAACTATAAACACTTTCCTCAAGTTGTTTTTTAGGTAGACCTAAAACAATTCCTCTAATATGTGAAATTCTAATACATAATAAACTCTATCATAATAAAAATTCACTGCTGTGGCTTTGTACATTTCCTGAAGTTCCACTAACAGAGCATTACAGCACACAAGTGGGCAAAAGCTAAACCTAAATTGGATTAACAATAAATCTGTTATTCCTTTCTGGTGGGCAGTGCAGTGACTAGGATCAAATTAAAAATACATGTATCCTTTGACCCAGCAATGTCAACTTCCAGAATTTTATCCTAAGAAAATAAGCAGAAAAGTATGCAGAGTATGCATGAGAACATCCACAGCAGCTCTAAGGAGTCTAGCTAAACTGGACATCTTACATAGGAAATTAGTTAAGTAAACGAACGTACATTCTAAATAGAATATTATTTAGCCTTCAAATATTCTGTAAAACTATCTGTATGGGCATGAGATGTCCAAAAAATATTGTAAAGCAGCAAAAACCAAGTTGGGAAGATACATTTATAATATTCTAATTTAGTAAAAATTACATTATAAGAAAGGTCTGAAATGATACATAATTTTATTGTCTACAGAATGAGTGATTTTCTTCTCTTCTTTTGGGTTTTCAGTTTCTAAATTTTTTTCACAATTACTTTTATTATAGGTAAAAAAAAAAGTATAAATTTTATTTTCAGAGAGGAAAAAAACAAAACCACTTCATTGTGTATCTACATGCAATTTTACAACATAGAACTCCAGACAACTTTCTGGTGAGTTTGTAAGGTATATAGATCTCTATATTATTATGTCATTTTCAACTCAAATAATCATATGGTAGATTAAATTTAGTAATTTATTTACATATTATTTTTATTATTTTCCTTCACAGTTAACATGGACTTATCTTCCTAACTATGTATAGGTTATATTCTAATCCACTATAGCCATTTTCCTTTGTCACGAAATATAAACTGATTCTACCACCGACAACATTAACGTAGTTGTAATATACAAAAAAAGCTGCTTTTAACATATATAGACATATAGATGGATTAAAATAGTACTGAATGATATGAATGAAAAAAATCAATAGGTTAAATGGCAATATAGTTGAGTTTTTACATATTCTTTAAAAATCTTTACAGTATGGGTCCAGCCCGGTGGCGCACTGGATAGTGCGCCGCTTGGGAAGCGCGGCAGCGCTCCCGCCCGAGGGTTCGGATCCCACATACAGACCGGTTCCCGCTCACTGGCTGAGCGAGGCGCGGGAGCAACACCGAGGGTTGCAATCCCGTTGCCGGTCCCCGGTCCGGTACGGGGGCAACACTGAGGGTTGCGATCCGTTGCCGGACACGGAAAAAGACAAAAAAAAAAAGAAACTTAAATGTTATCTGTTGGCCACAGGAAGCCACTGAAGTGTTTGATCAAGAGAGTGGTATAGTCGAGTGTTTTATAAAGATTAGTTCGGCCAAAGTGTGGG